CCGCCGCCGCCGCCGCCGGAAGGAGCCGCCATTTGCCACCGCCAAGCGCACGGGCCGAGCCAAGCCGGATCCGGGAGCCGGAGCGGGACCGGGGCCGGGAGGAGGGCGATGGGGGGCGGCCTCGCCGCAGGAGGACCTGGGCGCGTAACCTCGGGCGCCCGGCCCGCTCCGGACCCGGACCCGCGGGGCTCTGCACCCTGAGACCCCTTCCCCGCCCCCTGCCCCAAGCCATGGTCGCCCGCCCCACCGCCCCCGGGCCACCAGCCTGCGCGGCCCCGCGAGCCCCGGAGCCCCGGCGGCGGCAGCAGTGAGCGGCACCCGCAGGCCCACAAGCCCCCGGCCAGGCGACTCTCCCGCGCGCGCCCCCCTCCTGGCCTTGTCCCCTCCCTCCCTACCCCCTCCCCGGCCCCCGCGCCGAAACCCCCCCCAGTCGTCCCTTGCACGCCGCCCCCCGCCCCACCCCCCGGCGCCCGGACGATGCTCAAGTCTCGGCTCCGCATGTTCCTGAACGAGCTGAAGCTGCTGGTGCTGACGGGCGGGGGGCGGCCCCGGGCCGAGCCGCAGCCCCGGGGGGACGAGGGAGGCGGCTGCGGCTGGGCGCCCTTCGCCGGCTGCTCGAGCCGGGACGGCGACGGCGACGAGGAGGAGTACTACGGGTCGGAGCCGCGGGCCCGGGGCCTGGCTGGGGACAAGGAGCCGCGGGCCGGACCACCGCCGCCGCCCGCACCGCCGCCGCCGCCCCCGGGCGCGCTGGACGCCCTGTCGCTCAGCAGCAGCCTAGACAGCGGGCTCCGAACCCCTCAGTGCAGGATCTGCTTCCAGGGCCCGGAGCAGGTCAGGCCTGAGCACCTGGTGGGGTGGAGAGGGGTGGGGGCGCGCACCTGGGGCGCTAAGGGAGACCGAGAACGGGGGGGCGGGGCCTGAGGAGGCTGGGCGGGACCCAGGACGCCTAGTGGGTATGGTGTGAGATGGGGAGCTTGTTGGAGACTCCAGGAGCGCATGTTTGGGGTGGGGGTCCGGGGTATCCAGGAAGGGGTGGGGCTTTCTTTCCCGTGGCCTATACAATCCTCTCTGTCCTACGGGTGGGGACTGCACTTTGTCCGCTCTCTTCTCCCCAAGGTTTATGGAGCCTGGGGGTGCTGCTCTTGGAGTTGGGCAGATAGGGAAATCACTTCTGCTCCCACCTTGTTGGAAGGAAGACAGCACCCCTTGTTTCGCTTAGTGTTTTTCCCTGCGGGGCACTTTGCTCACTTTTCAGTCTGCAACTTTTTATTTCATTCCAAAGAGTATTCTTTGTTTATATTTTGTGGACAGCATTGCCCCTCCCCCCCCCCCCCCCAGTACCACCAGTGTCTTTAGTTAGAGAACATTTCTTTATTTAAGGGGAATATCTTCCCCATCGACTCCCGGAATGTCTTTTTGGATCCTTGAACACTGGGAACTGTAACCCACCCCAGTCCAGACCAGATCTGTGAAGTAATTTATAGTGATAGTGGGGGTTGGGGAGGATGCCTGGAAGCTCTGACCCTCTCCTCCCACTTTTGGGAGGATTGATGGCTTAGTGATAAGGAGTTGTGCTGCCCATAAAGTCATGCAGTCTTAATCCACTAGCTGCCCCATGAGAGAAAGGTGAGCATTCTCCTCCTGTGCGATTTACTGCCTCTGAAAACCCGCTGAAGGGTGAGCTATGAGTTGGTTCCACTCGATGGTACATGACAGCAGCTCTCCAAGGAAAAAAGGAGACCTCTCTTTCCACCATCCTGCATCTCTTTGGTCTGGAGAAGTTTCTCTTGAGCTTTCATTTTCTCTTTTCAGCTCTTTTTAGCCTTTTGCCTGTTTTGGAGTGAGAAGGACTGAGTTTCTAAAGGTGAAAGGATGACTAATAGGGAAGGGTCCTCTTTCTGGGAGCGGAGCTGAGTGGCATCTCAGTGATCTGACAAGTCTCTCCCACTCTTCCTTCAGGGGGAGCTCCTGAGTCCCTGCCGCTGCGACGGCTCTGTGCGCTGCACACATCAGCCCTGCCTCATCCGTTGGATCAGTGAGAGGGGCTCTTGGAGCTGTGAGCTGTGCTACTTCAAGTACCAGGTCCTGGCAATCAGCACCAAGAACCCTCTGCAGGTGAGGGGCAAGGGTCCTACAGCCAGTCATACTAGGAAACTTGTAGTAAACTTACTTGTAGATGACTCATTTTCTAAAGCTACTCCTCTTTGCTATTACCACAGTCTGTCTACAGGTCTTTCCTCCATTCATTTATTCACAAAGATACTGAATATACTAGCTGTGTTTCATATACTGTTCTAGACACAGTTGTTGTTAAGTGCTGTCGAGTAGCAGGTGACTCGTAGCGACCCTATGAATGAAAGTCCTGGACACCTCCTGTATAGCTCTCGTCCTTTCTCCAGATTCATAGGGTTTCCCGAGGCACAATATTGTGGAAGTGGATACCACTCCTGCTTCCAAGCTTGTTTTAATCAGGGAGCTTCACCAAACACTGTCCACTTCAGGCCGTAGGCCCGAGGGTCCAATAGGATTTTAAGCTAGGGCCTGGAGCAGGCTCCTCAGGCTCGACCCCACCCTTACTTATCCTTACTTAAAGGCCCATCCGCCTTTGAAGTCCAAAAAGGACAGTAATATACAACGTGAAAAGATCCCAGAAACTTCTGTTGCCTGACTGCCACCAAAAGGAGCCGCCATGGAGACGCCAGCCATCCCACCCGCTTAGCTGGCTGACTTCCAGAGTGTAGAGAGACTCCAGTCCCCAAGCCTCGTGAAGGATTTTAAGTCTCTAGGAATACAAAAAAGATAAAAAGATGATAATGTTGCTGCTGCTAACACATAGTATTTTCTATAGCAAGTTTGTGAAGTGTGCTAAGTCTTTTAATCCTCATATTATACTATGAAGTAGGTACAATTGTTATCCCCATTTTAGAGATGAGGACATTGAAGCACAAAGAGGTTAGAAAATTTGCCACAGGTTTGCTCACATAGTAAATAATGGAACTAGAATTCCAACCTAGATGGCTTCAGAACATTTGCTTTTAAAACTTTTTAAAAGCAATTTAAAAAAAAAATGGTCTCAAGCAGTTTGAGAAGTGCCACATCCTGGGTTTGATCACATCATAGAGAAAACTGTTGTTCGTCTTGCTAGGAGGGTTTGGGGAAGGCCTTTGGAAAATTCTCAGGTCCTGTTTGCCTTCTGTGATTCTATGGAAACTTTTCTCACAGTGGCAGGCTATATCTCTGACGGTCATTGAGAAGGTTCAGATTGCTGCCATAGTTCTGGGCTCTCTCTTCCTCGTCGCCAGCATCTCCTGGCTCATCTGGTCCTCACTCAGCCCTTCAGCCAAGTGGCAGCGACAGGATCTACTTTTTCAAATCTGCTACGGCATGTATGGCTTTATGGATGTCGTCTGCATAGGTGAGGACACCTCTGTCTCCCCCTTACCTTCGAAGTATCATTCTTAGACCCCTAAACTTAACTTGCTTGCCTATCATCTAAATTTCATTACCATGCTTTCCAGCACTCGGTACCTTTAAGGCCATTACAGTATCCCTTTCCTGCTTTCCCAGTGTCCTTTTCAACTTTGTGTTCTGACTCTGGAGAAATGCTTGCTGAAGTGTGTCTGGCCTAGGCAACTGTTATTTATTTATTTATTTATTTATCCCTCTTTCTCAGGCCTCATTGTCCATGAAGGCTCTTCAGTCTACCGCATCTTCAAGCGCTGGCAGGCAGTGAACCAGCAATGGAAGGTCCTAAATTATGACAAGACTAAGGACATAGGAGGAGATACAGGGGGAGGGACGGCCGGGAAACCAGGCCCTAGGACCTCACGGACGGGCCCCCCATCTGGGGCCACCAGCCGCCCCCCAGCTGCCCAGCGCATGCGGACGCTCTTGCCTCAGCGCTGTGGTTATACAATCCTACACCTCCTTGGACAGCTGCGGCCACCGGATGCCCGTTCTAGCTCCCATTCTGGCCGTGAGGTTGTCATGAGGGTCACCACGGTCTGAAGTGGACTCCATGAGTGGTGATTTTGAGTCAATTCATTGGCCAGAGATGAGCTCTCATGGCTGCTGACCGCTCCTGCCTGGAGGTACACCTGGACAACGCACTAGGGCCACACGCACTGCTCCCACTACGGAGGATCTCTGTGGGCAGCCTCAAGCTGGAGACATTGGCCTCTGCTGCCCACTGTAGAGAGAAATCTGGATGCTGGATGACATCCAGCCCCCACTGACAGCTCCTCACACTCATCCTGGGGCAGCCAGTGAGCAGTTGGGGAGAACAGCTTTTCTTCCCTGGTGAGAACCGTCCTTACCTCAGCTCCTAGGGCCTCCAGGCCCCCAGTTCTACTGCAGTGACTTGGTGAAGGGGGACCAATGCCAGAAGAAAGGGGCTGTAGACCCCCACTTCCTACCCCATGGCCACAGGGCATCTGGCAATAAGACTAGTATACATTGACCTCCCGTTCCCTGCATGAGGGCGGGGGGACTTCCCCCTGCTCCTCCCCCCCATTGCATGGGAGGAGGGCATAAAGAATCATTTATATGCACATGGAGACTCCTTTCTCATCTGGGGCTTCTCTGGAGGGCAGGGAGGGGTGGGGAGGTTTCTCTGCACAGGTTGCAAATCCCAAATGCAGTGATGAGTTCTGAGTTGGAGGTGTAACTCCCACTTGCTGGTGAATAATTCACGTTGGCTGCTAGGTGGCAGTGCTTAGAGATATCTAAGGGGTGGACCTGCCACCTGCAAGTTGTGTGACTTTTAAAAAATCTCAGCTGTGGTTTTCCTGTCTACCTCATAGAGCTGAAATGAGGATAAACATGGGATGGGTTGAATGCCATTACAAAGAAAATTGGTTAAAGTATAAAAAGATTTCTAGACTAGTTGATGGTCCATTGATTTCAAGTAGTAGCTGGTATAAAAAGTTCCAAAGTGTGTTTTCATTTGGAGTTGCACAACGTCTTGGAAACTTGTGTAAAGTGATGTAATAGATATGGCAATATGAGAGGAAACAGAAATTGTAAATGTGAAAGATGGTGATTATTTGCATGAATGTGAGTCACTCTGCCCCCCAAACATGGGAGCCTGGTGTCTCAAGGAAGGCTGATGCCATTCTTGCTCTGGGCATTGTCTGGGTTTTATTAGTCCTTCCTAGGTATTGTGCTAACTCACCTAGAGAAGTGGCAATAAATGAATTTAGACTCACTTGGAGTAAGAGAAATTCCCATTGTTAGGAATCTTTAACTCTGTGGTTCAACTGCTCCCATGGAAGTTTAGTGTCACTGGCCTGATTATGATTTGTCCCAGTTAATGGTACAACTTACCTGAAAGGTATAACGAAAAGGTTTGGGATGAACTGGTTAAAATGTGTGTCAGCCTGAAGCTTACTTCTTTTCTCCAGAAGCCTTGAGGATGTGCATTACATGAATTATGGTTTAAGTGAATTATTCATCAGCAACTAAAATAATTATTTCAGACATAACTAAAATCAGACCCAGTGGTCTTTATTATTAGTGGATCTTCTGAGAAAATTCCACACTACTTCCTCCTTGTGTAAGTTCTGGAGAAAGTATCACATGCAGTTGACCTTTGAGTCTTGGTGACCATGTACAGCAGAAACAAACACTACCTAGTGCTGCACTAGCCTGGTGGTCAGTTATGTGTTGGACCTCTGTGATTCACAGAGTTTTTACTGGCTGATTTTCAGATGTAGATTGCCACACCTCTTAATCTGGAAGCTCTGGGGAATCTGTTCAGTACATAGCAACATGTAAGCCTCTACTGATAGAGACAGCTGGTGGCTGTCCATGAGGTATATTAGTGGTGAATTGAACCCAGTTATCTATAGCATGGAAGACTAGAATTCTACTGAACCACTACTCCCATGCTTTTTTATTAGGGGTCTACATACTTAAAAAGTCATTGCCACTGAGCCACTTAGCAACCCTCTAAAGGGTTTTCTAGGCTGTGAATGACAACAGGAGGAGATGCCCTTCTTTCTTCAGGAAAACAGTGGTTGATTCAAACCACTGGAGATGAATAGCCTTTGGTTAGCATCCAACGCCCTATGAATTATGGCATCAGAGCTCCCCTAAGGGCCTTCATAATCTCCCAGGAAATTGTGATCTCCCGATCAGTCTCCAAAAGGGGCCTTGGCTGCTGTCCATGGTGCTGGATCCAGACTTGCCTAGGGATATAGGGATCAGGGATGGATTAGGCTCTGAGTCACCTGAAAATAAGAATGTACATATCATATTCCAGACTATCAGGGGATCAGAATGGAGAAGGGGCTGAGGCTGAGCCTTTCATCTTCCTAATGAGAAATTGTTTTCCCCAAGGAGGTAACTTTCCTCATTCTCCAGCAAGGGAGACAGAAAGGCTAAAATTTACTGATCTGCCACTCACAGAACTACTGAGGATGAGGAAAAAGGGATATAGCAAATCAGAGTAACTACTAATATCCAAACCATCAGCTAGGTTGTTCCCAAGTGATGGTCCCACATAGAAGTTTAGATGTATCTAAGAACACAGACCCACATGCATGCATACACACACACACATATACACACACACTGCCTGCATTTCTATCCTGTATCCTTAAACCAGGTCGAGTAAGACAGTTTATCCCTACATCAGTCTTGGATGGAGGTTGGGAGCAGCAATCAGTATAGTTCTGTCCTTTCATTTTTTCCAACTTAAATCCTTAAACAAGCAGGATCTATGATGGCACAGTGGTTAAGGACTCAGCTGACAATTGAAAGGTTAATGATTTTTTGCCCTCTAGCTACTTTGTTGGAGAAAGATGTGGAAGTTCCCAAAAAGATTTATAGTCTTAGAAACCCTATGGGCAGTTCTACTCCATTCTACATGTTCACAATGAGTCAGAATCAATGGGTTTGAGTTTTATCCAGGAAAGGAGTCATGGGAACTGATGCTCTTCTCAAGTGGGCAATCTCACTTGCCCAAATGGAGAGCGTGGGTGGATAAAATCCTCATTACTGCTCCCAGACAGAAGGGTCTGAGCACAGGCTGGGCTTTCAATTTCTCACAAGGCTCAAATTTGTGAGAAATTAGATCAGTTAAGTTCAAGTTGGACACTGAGATAGGGAAGTTGTGGCAGAGACATGAACATGCAATAGAAAGGAGCTGAAAGGAGAAGTGAATGCATGCAAGCCTTGATTTCTGCACCAAGCTCTCTTCTCTGTAGATCTTACATAATTAGATGCCTTCAGAAAGCCTGGGTGGCTAGTGGAGTTTCTGTTATCAGGGAGCCATGGCTAGGGCAAGGGGCTGAGGTGATGGGGAGGAGAAGTAATGTGAAATGAAAGCTTCATCTACATCTACACCTAGCTAATTGGAATGGAGGGAGAAACAGAAGGAAGGGGACAAGTCCCAACATGGGGAAGATAATCTAGACGGAGCTTTGGAGAGAATGTTGAGAGATTTATTTGAGTGGAAGATGAGTTAATCTGTATATATCATTGGTGAGAATGGTGCCAGTCTTTGGGGGGTCAGAGAGAATGCTGAGTCTGGGAAACAGACTCCCTCTGCTCACCCTTCTCTTGCCTTGGTGCCCTAGGGCTTCTGGCTGCTTCTACACTTGACTTTTATCTTGTCTGCCCAATGCCACTTTTCTGATGTATCCTTGTCTTTTTCTAAAGGAAGTTATCTTCAAGCAACTTTTCCAGGGAGGGCATAGTGACCATTCTAGAATGTCCTAGTAGTCCCATGTTCCAAAAATATTTGGCTTACCAAAGAGACCATGAGTTGTCTATGCCCATCTATCTTGGCACATTCTCAGCTCCCCACCCTTTTCTTTAGCCTAAACCATGCAGCTTTTCACTACCACCCCATGAATCCCTTACTGGGAGGGCCAGACTTGGCTGTTCTCTCTACGGACAGAAACATGTCAGATTTCTGATAAAAGTCAGTCTCCCAGGCATCTAGACCTCCCACTGTTATTGGCTGGGGGTGGAGGGGCCCTCCTCGAAGCTGAGAAGTAATGATGAGGAAAGAGGGTCAGAGTCTGGCCTCAGGTCTTTTAGGAAGTAGGAGTGAGAGAGAGTTGTAAGCCAAAAGTCAAGTCTGGACTGTTCGATTTTTTTTTTTTTTCATTTCAAAACTATTAATACTTTTCAATTCCAATATGAAAAAAGAAGTCAGAGGTCTGGGCAGGGACAGGCCCATAGTGTTTCTGCTTGGTGACTAAATGTCATGACAAACCTTTCTAAGCATGACCAGATAGCCAAGGAAAGTTTAAAAAAAAATCATAAACCCTGCTAGAGCAGACCCACCCTTCTAGGGGCAAGACAAAGAAGTGAGGGTGGGGAATGGAGTCTGGTAAGCAGATTATCCCTTCTGCGACGTGGTCTAAAGTCAATGTGATGGTATATGGCTGGCGTCATCTCATTAGAAATAGGGTCTGACAGGGAATGTAAAGACTGCACAAGGCCTTGTCCTTCCCATCAGAAGCAAGCATGCAAAGTGGGAGAACCAACCAGGTGCACACCAGATGCACAATTACTTAGCTCATGCTGTGATAAATGCTTAGCCAGCAGCATCTGTGGACATTACGGAAGCCCCAAAAGGGCAGTGATTGAATCTTTCCTCAGGCCACTGAACATTATTAAGATCTGAGTTGGTCCATGAAGGTTGCACATGATATGACCAGGAGCAGGACTGTGCAGGCAAAGGCAATGCAGTATCCTCAGGGCCTTCCTGATGGGGCCAAGTGTATCCTTCCCACCTTGGTGAGGGCAGCCTCAAGCACCTTGCTATAGTAATTCTAACCAGGTTAGTCACACAGGCCACAGGGGGAGCACATATTTCTTGGTCTCCTGCCCCAGGATGAGAGAAGAGATGATGACAGTCTGCCTCCACAGGTCTGTCTGTCCACAACTATAGTTAATACTCCTTTTAGGCACCCCCTTCCACATAGCTATCTGTCTATAAACTGTAGGTTGATGCTCCTCTCAGGTACCAGGACGGTCCGGGTCTTCGGTCTGATTGGGGCAGCACCCGGCTCAGGCCGAACCTCAAAGTGCATCAAGATCTGGAAAAGGAGAAAAAAGGATATCATTATAGGAAAGGTCTATGATGAGAGGTTCAATTGGTAAAAAAACCCAAGCCCAATATAACAAAGCAACATACACTTCACTGTCACCGAGTTGACTGACCCATGGTGACCCTGCAGGTCAGAGAACTGCCCTTAGAGTTTCCAAGGCTGTAAATCTTTGTGGAAGCAGACTGCTTGATCTTACTCTCCTGGGGAGGCTGGCGGGTTCCCATTCCTGATTTTTTGGTCAGCGGTCTAATTATTTAACTCCTGTGCCATCAGACATTAGTCAATATTAAGGTGGTCAGTGTTGGGGTGGTATCTGTGGGGGACTTCAATTAATGAGAGTAAAGAATAATGGCAGAGAAAAAGAACCCAGCTACCCTTGCTCACCCGCCAGGCCTATAATAAACCTGCTGCTGTTTAGCCAATTCAGACACACAGTGACCCTCCACTGGGTCTCTGAGTCTGTAAATCTTTATGGGACGAGACTGTCCAGCTTTCTCTGAAAGATCAGCTGGATTTAAACTGCTGGTCTTTTGATTAACAGTCTGACTCATTACGTGCTATGCTACCAGAAATATATAATAGGATTGCCATAGTTCAGAGGCAAATTGAATATGTTTCCTACTAAATTTTATATGTCTTCCAGTGTTCCTACATCAGATGCCTCTGGAAACGCTATAAACACCATAAACACAAAGAAATCATGTTAATTATAGAACAGAGTTCATGTCTTTTGTTCACAGGGTCGCTATGTATTCGACTTGATGACACTTAACCATTGCTAAGTGAGACTAGTGTTGCTATATTTTGGAGGAACTTCTACTTTCACTCCTTGTCAATTTGCTTTACTGAGGTAATCTGGTTTTCTGTAATGTTGAACCTGTGCCACTGGGGTATCAAATACCATAATGGTTTACCAGTGTGGACAGTGTTTGGTGGAGCTCCCAGTGGTAGGACAGCTTTGGAAGCAGGAATGGCATCCACTTCCTAAACCATATGTCTATGGAAACTCTATGAACTTGGAGAAACTTAGAGAAAGGCAATATGTCTTTTGTTCATAGAGTTGCTATGAATTATGCTCAACTTGACGGCAATCAACAACAACAATGTTAATTAGAGAATAAAAATTCCCAGCTCTAGGTCCAGGTCTCTATCATCAAGGCAGTGTGTATGGTTTAGAGCACTCACCTGAACTAAAGCCATTTGCAGCTCAAGCTCTGCCAGGCGCCTCCCCATACAACTTCGTTTGCCAAACCCAAAGGGGAGAGAGGCAAAGGGGTGGGGGGCTGGGTCCTCCCCCAGCCAGCGAGCTGGATGAAAAGAATCTGGTTCTGGAAACTGGGCAGGGTCTCGAGAAGTGCAATAGTGACACAGAGTGACCAGTGTCTGGGGGGAGAGGAACACAAACTTGTAAGTCTGGGTCTAGGAATGTGGGGTGGGGCATTTAGAATACAGGAGGAAAGACATGTTGACTAGGACAAAAGCAGGAAAGTCTGCAGCCAGGAACCTCTCCAAATTATTAAGGAGCAACAGTGTCAGTTTGAGGACTAAGGTGTGTCTGATTCAGGCCATGGTCTTTTCACTCACTTGCTAGGCATCTCAGAGCTGGGCAATGAATAAGGATGACAAAAAAAGAATTGATGCCTTTAAGTTGTGGTGTGGAGAAGACTACTATATATCCCATGGACCGCCAAAAGAACGAATGATATGTCTTGGAGAGAGGCAAAGATGGTAACGCTTCATCTTACATTATTGCAGCATGTTGCCTAGGAGAGGCTATTCCTTGGAAAGGGACAGCTTGCTTGGAAAGGCAAAGAAGAAGCAAAGGAGAAGAAGACCCTCAACCAGATGGATTAACACAGTAACTGCAGCAGCAGCTTGAGCGTGTCAGAGATTGTGAGGATGGTGCACGATAGGACAGGGTTCAGATCTGCTGTTTACTATAAGTGAACTCAACTTGATGGCCCCTAACAACAACAACAGTTAGTGATGGGGAAATTTTCTGGTGCTACATTTCGAATGATTTCTTGATTGCCCCATTTTATTCCACAGCACAGCATTCATGCCCACAGGAGTGTCTGAAGGACTTAAGGGGAACATGAGAAAAGCACCAAGAGCCAAGTTAATAAGGGATGGGTTTAGCAAAAAGGGCTCACAGATTCTACTCACATTTTTTGGAATAATGTAATCACCCACACGAATATCTTTGTCTGGGACACGGGAATTCCCAGGTACCACGGGGTATAGTCTGGGTGGCAGAACACAAGAGAGACAGCAAGGTGAGACTGGAAGCTTGCTTTCATCTTCTCCAAAAACTTCTAAACCTGCTTTTGGTCAGGAGTGTCATTTTTCTTTGCTCTCTCTCCCTGTCTGGCCCACTCTCTGCTTCTCCAATTCTTCCCCAGCATTTTCCCTCGATCCTCTTTTCCTTCCACCTCACCTCAGCACCTCCTTGATCACAGCCTTCAGCAGGGGCAGCTGGGACAGAGCAGTGGCTGAGGGGTGGGCACATGAGCTGGGACCCAGGGCAGTAACGATCTCCGAGTGGAGCGCTGTCTGGACTTCCGGATGCCGAGAGAGCTCATACAGAGCCCAAGAGAGAGTGTTGGACACCTGAGGGCACGAGTGAGAGGTCAGAGGAACTGCATGTGGGGACACAGAAGGCAGAATATGGGGCAGTCTGGGGCAAAGGAGATGCTAAGCCGAGCTTGCCTAAAGAACAGCATTGGATTCCCTGCAGCAGGAAGGGAAGTGTCTGTGGAGGCTAAAATTTGCAAGTGGTCAGAGCTTAGAGGGAGACCCTCACCGTGTCCACTCCTGCCAGTAGCAGTTCTGTCACATTCCCGAGGATGGACGGGGCTGGCAGTTTTTCTCGGAATAAGAAGTAGGTCAGATGTGCTCTGCGTCCCATGTCTCCCTCAGGCCCTTCCTGGTTCCTCGTGGCCACCTCAGCCTCTCGCTGTTCCACGTGCTGCTGGGCTGCAAGGGGAAAGTGGCATAGTGATGTCTCACCACTCCTGGACAGCGCTCCGGTCCCCAGCCCCTTCTTGCTGCTGTGCCTTACCAAATGCAAACATCTGGTCCCAGTCCCGGCAGAGGCGGTCCCAGGGCCCGGGAACCAGGCGGTGCAGCCAGCTGGGCATCGCCATGGTTAGCAGCGTGGACACAAACACAGAGCCCACGGCGCGGATGAAGGTCTCCGTGTCCCGCGGCACTTGGGCCTCCAGGCAGCCGAGGCGCGAGCCCAGCAGCACGGCGGCGATGCCTGGCCGGGAGGGGGCGCTGTCAGGGCTCCGAGCCGGGTGCCTCCCGCGCCGGCCCGGGTGTCGGCTAGGACTCACCTTCTAGTCCGAACTTATAGAACTCTCCCGCCACGTCCCGAACCAGGGCGGGGGGCCCCGCGCCCAGACCCCGCTGGCACCGCAGTCGCCTCACGAGGTCGCCGACCACGTTGTCCAGGGTCCCCGCATAGCGGGCCGCCGACTGAGGCCGGAGAAGGAGCGGAGCCAGAAGGCTGCGGAGCCGCTGCCATTCTTCGCCGTCTCTGCAGGGTGTGCAGAGAGAGCACCTCAGGGGAGGAGTGGGCGCTGTCTGCTCCCTCGGGGTCAAGAAACCTTCCCCGCTTAGGCCTGTCTGTCTCCGCGTTACTCATTTCCTGCCCCAGTGCGTTCCGGGTTTCTGGGTAACCTGAGTCACTGAACCATACGTCCCATCTAGGTCCTGGTACCCTCTCTTCCACCGGTTCCCCCTGTTCCTAGCATTCTGGCTTCACAGGCAAAGGGGTGCGGGGAGGGGCAAGGGAAGGACTCTGCCCTAATTTAGGTGAAACAGTTGACTCTCTCCAGGCCCCAAGGCATTTCTGTTTGGGAATCTGGCCCCTTAGGGGGTCATTGCAGGCTGTCCGGGCTTGGGGTGCGGCGCTGAGGACTCACGCAGTGAGTAGCCCGCAAGCTCGCTGGCGCAAGCGTCGGTGCTCCGTCCAAGGTGAGAAGCTGCAGCGCTCGGGTCGAGGTCCCTCTTGTCGCAGCAACTGCTCAATCAGCTCAGGAGCGGCCACGTAGACTGTGCGCACTGTCCCGAAGCTGGCCGACCACACGGGCCCGAAGTGCTTGGCGCCCTGCACCTGGAGAACAGGTAGAAGGGATACTGGAGACCTGGGCTCAGAACTCCAGCTTGACCCATGTCAAAGCCGAGAGGATGGAGACGGAGCCTTCTGCCCAGCTAGAGTTGGTTTCCTGATCCTCCTGCGCTTTCCTCCCCTTTCCATGCCTAGGAAGTTTATGTGATGTGCACAAACCAGAGAATTTTGCGTAAAGACACCTAGGATCTCTGTTGGATTATCTAGCAGAGCTAACCTTCCAGGCTGCGTAACTAGCTCATGCCGTGTCCCTACTGAGTGAATTGGAAAGCCTGTAACTTTAAATAGAACACATCTGCACCTAGCTAGAGCACACCCAGAGACCACTGGCTTCCAGCGTTTCCTCACAGCGAGTTGGGTGGTTCTTTATTTGAGAGCTCACCTAGGCAGGAACGTTAGCTACAGCCCCCAGTTTCAGCTTTTTCATAATTTGTGGGCATCCATCTGCTTGGACCCTCTGCACTAGACCGTCCTTTCTTGAATTGTCAGAACTCTTTTCTCTAGTTCTCATTCCTAGGAACGGGGCACACCCCTACCTGCAGCTCGTGTAGCCGTGAAAATCCCCCCTTGCAGAAGAGTTCGGCTAGGAAACCTGGTGTGGAGGGCCCTGGGATGTCAGCCAAATTCCGCGGTGCTGAGTCGGAGCCTCTCGAGCCCAATGAGGCACCCAGGTCAGGAGCCCAGAGGACCCGATGAAATACCCTAGAAGCGAGCTTGAGAGTTTGGGTCATGATTTGGTTCACGAAGCCTGAAGGTGCTTCTCCAGAGCATCTTGCTGGCTTTCCAGAACCTCTATTTAATCTTTGGGTGAGGCTGGGGCAACGCCCCTCTCCACACTCTTCAGCCAATCCCTTCTCCGTAGTGGTCCATGCTGAGGATTCTCACCCAGTGGATGCCTCTGAAGGAACTGTAGGCGGGGCTGGGGCTGTCTTTGCAACTCCCTATGGACCTCCCTCCCAGCTGCTTGCTAGTGGGTGGCCTGCCTCAATTTCTTCTCTAGGTCTACTATGTAGTCCTGCAGGATGTGTCTTCTCTGGGAAAAGCCTAAATGAAATCTATTATGGAGCAACCAGTTTAGTTTTAGGTGACTTTTAGGCTTTGTTCTCCCCAAAATGTATGTTGCAGACCCTAATCTCTATTTAATCTCTAAATTAGAATCCTATTTGCAAATGGTTCTTTGTTAAAGAGGCAGAATTCCTGTATGAAATCTCTTGAGATACATTGTTGTGTATGGGACTCATAGCTAACCCTCCCACAAGTTTTCAGAAGCAGTAAATGGCATGGGAAGAGACTGCCCATTTTTCTACCATCAAACAGCTGGTGGATTTGAACCAAGTGCCTTTGGGTTGACAGTACAACTCCTTACCATTAAGTCACCAGACCTGCAGATATAAAAGAGATTAAATAAGCAAGTCAGAGAAACAAAGAAAGGGAAGACATAACAAGCCATATGAAGACTGCAGAAGAGCAGAAACTAAGAATTGACAAGGTGCTTTTTCCAGAGACAGGGATAAGGAAACTAAAGTTGAGATTTCTGGGCTCCTGATCTGTGAGAAAATAGATTTGTCTGTTAAAGGCATCCACATGTAGCATTTGTTATAGCAGCACTAGGTAATACTACATGAGTCAACCTTTGGTATTCCCATCACTTCCCCAGGGAGCCAAGGCCCTCAAGCCTATCCTTAGGGATTCCCCATCCTCTAGCTTCTCTGGGAAGAAAAGAAAGAGAGTCGTGTAATCTCCACAACTCAGCTCATCTGGGTTACATAATTTGTGGGCAGAATTTTCTTTCACTAGGAAAGATCATCTCTATTCTACAAGTTAGGCAAATGGCAGAGTGTATTAATGGGTTAAATTGGCTCCAGAAACTCTCACCCTTATTGGGGGGTGGGTGGGTAAAGGAGTGTCAAGAAGTGACACCTATGTTTATTGCTGTTATTCACAATAGCAGAGATGGAAGCAACTCAAGTGCCCATCAACAAATGAATGGGAAAACGATGGTATAGTTACATAATGAAATACTGTGCAGCACTGAAAAACAAGGAACTCAGAAAATATTACCCATGGGTGACCCTGGAGGACGTTAAGTGAAATATCACAGTCACATAAGGACAAATACTGCATAACACCACTCTTGTAAACAGGACATGGGGGTTAGGGGAAAACTAAGAGGGGATAAATAATGAACACTGCCTTAGAACAGATGAAAGAACTGTTTAAAAGGAAGTCAAGAAGTTGAGTGACGGGAGCTCTGGTGGCCTAGTGGCAAGGAGCTGCAACTACAATCCCAAAGGCACACAGTTCGAATCCACCAGATGCTCTGCCGGGAAAAGGAGGAACAATCTCCTCCTGTACCAGTCAGATCTGATTTGACAGTACACTCACACAAAAATAAAAAAAAATAATAAAAATAAAAGAAGTTGAGTGTCTTTAGTCAACATGTTACATCCTTCCAGCTGTGGGCATCTGGGACTCGAGGAGCAGAAATGAAGAACTTTTTGCAATTTAGAAAAACTCAGATACTCTCTTGCATTCCTGGATTAAACAAGGGCTGGGGCTTAGAATTCCCACATGACCCAGCCCAAAATGGGAGCTTTATGGTTAGCAGTCCCTTGCCATTTTAGTCTTTGAAGCCTCCTCAGTTTAGCTTGCTGCTCCTTGCTTCTTCCCTTCTTACCCACGCCCACTGCCACCAGACTCTGTGCCTGCCAGCCAACTCTGAAATCGAAGGTTAACATGAAGAGTTTCCACATCCATACTGTCCTGAGATTCTTCAGAGACAGCAATGAGAGAGAGGTTCCTCGCATCCAGTCTTAGGCAAGGAGAGAATGAGAAGATGGTAAAGGACTTTCTAAGAAAAAAATCATGGCATGGGCACGCGCACACATACACACATTATCCCCAGTACTGCAAAGAAAAGACAAGTGGACAGGTGATTTGAGACCAGCAGGTAGTTTAGATATATTGTGGTGCACTGTGTTCTTCACTTGAGCTGAGATTTCAGAAAGGAGGGCTAAGGGGAGTGCAAGAATCCACACCCCACCAAGACGCCCCCCTGGTGAAAGGTCTTCTGATCTTTCCAGTCAGCTTCTTTCGCTGCTTACAGCAGAGGGACAAGGAGAGAGGAGTCGGGGGTAGTTGTGAGCCTAGGGCTCTGTTCTGGCAAGTTCCTCTATTTCTTTGACCCATCACTGCCTCTCACTTCCAGCCTGATCTTTTTGGCCTCTTAAAGAAGAGTTCCAGCTAAGGTAGGATGAGCAGTTAAGAGACCAGGAAGAATGGGACTGGGAGTCACTGCCTGGAGACTAGGATCTTGTATTCTTCGGAAGATGGCTGGGAAATTCTTCCCTCCACTGCGTAGAACCTTCTTTCCCTCTTCAGTTGAGGTGCCCAGATGTCTGATAATGGGATCTTCACTCTAGGAGAAGAAAGGAATCAGATAAGTTCGTGCTCATCTTTCAGTCTCTGGCTTCTAGACGCCCATCTCATATTGCTAGCACTGAGAAAGATACAAAGAACATTCTGGAAAGGTTTGCATTTTTGCAAATTTCCTAAGGTTCTTTACTTACCAGCTCCTCTAGAGGTACACGTTCAAACAGAGGGTGCCCTTCAAAATGGGTGCACATCCAGTTGTGTAGCTCCAGCACATCGGTTATGGTGTATACCAGGCCCTGCATAAGTAAAGTCAGTCTAGACAGAGGGCTGCATGCATTTGAATGATGGAAGGATAAGTGTTAGCCCCTAATCCAACTCCCATTTAATTCTCAGGGAGGTGCCCTGAACAGACCACTCGCCCTACCCTTCCTCCTACGCACCCCTACTCTCAGCACGTAGGCATATTCTGCCAGTAGTGTGGGACTGATGATTCGCCACTTGTGCTTCGTCCTCTTGAAATGTGGGTCCGGGAAGAGGAAGAACATTTTCGTCAGCTGTGAGACAGACAGACATGCACAGACAGGATGGTAAGGGCCTGGCTTCCACCCCTGTCTGCCTTCCAACCTAAACCACTAGGGCCCCTCCCCACCTGGCCCTTTCGGAAGAAGTTAGGAAGATGCTTCATGGCATTACTACGGAGACAGGCGATGTTCTGGAAGCCGCCTCCTGGAGTTGCACGCAGGGCCCGAATCCGGTCTTGTACATAGTCTGAAACCTTTACCCGAATCTCCAGGCCTAGAATCAGGGTATCTGGGAACAGTGGTGACAGTTCCACTAGATAGAAATAGAAATGGAATAATCAAACCAGGCAGTAAGAAGTGTAAAGGAGTCAATACAAGAAAACAGTCTACAATCTGTAGCTACCTAGGAATGACAACTATGGATAGGGAGCTATGTACAGTTATAAACCCAAAAAGTCAGAACCTGTGTGTAAAGCAGGAACCTGTCAGAGGAGGAAAATACAAATATCTTCCACCAAGTAGAGAGTAAGGGAGCTCTGGTTGTCTAGTGGCAAGAAGCTTTGTTGTAATTCCAAAGGCATAGGGTTTTAATCCGCCAGTTTCCTTGAGAAATGGACTGGCAATCTTCTGTGCGATTTACTATGTCTGAAAACTTGCTGTGGAGTCAGCTATGAGTTGGTTCTGACTCAACCGTCACACAGCAAGTAGAGAGCAACAAAAAACTGGTGACCACACCCTGGAGAAAGATAAGGGAGTCCTGTGGAGTACTGGCTCTCCCAGGGTTCGCTGTATATAAATAGGCTGGGAAAACATTTGCAAATACTTTAAAAGTTTTCATATATTATTTAAGTCTTACAACATTATGATATATTGTAAAGACTGAGGCAACTCAAATAAGAAATGCCCAAAGTCACAGAACTAAGAAAAGTTAAGAGTAGGAATCTGAACCAAGGTTTTCTACCATGTTCTTCCCTTTGTCATGCAATTATTTGTATGAGAAGATCTAAAAATAGGGACGCTTAGTTGCATGCATGACATGGACAACACAAGAGGGACTTGAAAACACAAGAGAAAAGTGGCAGGAATGAATACTGGTAGGGAGGGCAGAAGTCAGAAGGGAGGTGGTGGAATCCCTGAGAAAGATGGTTCAGGATCACTGGCTACAGGGGCTTATCTCTGACGCTTGTGCTCACCTGCTCACTGACCCAGAACCTAGAAGGTGAAATGGCTCATGGAAGAACTGGGGCCCAGGGTGGGGCTAGACAGGAGAATGTAGGCTCAAAGAGGCATTTGAGGTAGCCCCCTCCTTTCTCCAGTTCAAAGTCCACAGACTCAGAGTAGAGGGAAGGTGGAGTCTTTCCACACTGATGTCACAAGTATCTGGTCCAAAGGGAAAAGGCCAATGATGGGCCTTACCAAACCTGCTGAAATGGCAGAACCTACATTATTCCCTGTCCTTGCTCCAAAGGAAGGGCCAGAAATGTTACCTAACAGGCCACCATAGCCACAGCCTATGTCTGCAAACTCCACTTGGGCCTGAGGTCTCTTCTCTTTCTTATCCTTTGGGTCATCATGGCTCTGATTTTGGGTCAGTGGAGCAAAAAACTCTGGGTATAGTTCAGACCAGTCCATTTCCTCTGGCTTCACAGGGCTATAGGAGAAAAGACGTGAGAGACGTGAGAAGCTTGGCCAAACAATGCAGAAGTGTGTGTGGGAGGAGCTGTGTGAGCATGGGAGGAAAGCACCCTTAACCTCTAGTGTGAATCACGGGCTCATCATGAGATCTGTGATTGCTGACATGTCCATCTTCGTTTTGAGAGGTTACTGTGATCCTGGCTGAGGCAGAAATATGTTTCCCTTCTAGCCATCAACTTCCTACATCCCTGGGATGTTCCTATTTTATTAATTTTGTAGGTAATGGATGGGGCACTGGAGACTAGGGTGTGCCTGATCCAGGCTATGTCTTCGCAATTGCATGCTATGCATCGGAGAGTTGGACAGTGAATAGGGATGAGAGAAAAAGAATTGATGCTTTTGAGTTGTGGTGTTGGAGAAGTGTTGAAAATACCATGGACTGCTAGAAGAACAAACAGGTTTGTCCTGGAAAGGGTGAAGCCAGAATGTTCCCTGGAGTCATGGATTCTGGGGCTTTGTCTGACATACTTTGGGGCATGTTGCAAGGAGGGACCAATCCTTGGAGAGAGGCATCATGTTTGGGAGAGTGGGGGGACGGCGCAGGAGAGGAAAGCCCTCAATGAGATGGATCGATTCTGTGATTGGGGTGGTGGGAGTAAGTACAGGATAGAGCAGGGTTTAGGGTTCTTGTATATAGGGTCGCTATGAGTCGCAAGCGACTCGACGCACATAACAACAACAACTAAGCCGTAGGCAAGATTGAGAGTATGTGTGTGCATTTTTATTAAATTCAACAAAGGAAACCGAAAGGTGAATACTACATAATAATTTTTTTTCACTCAGGTCTAAATTCTTTTTCTTCTCCATGACTTCCAGGTCCATAGACTTCTTTCAGAACGCCACACCCACTCCAAATCAGTCAGCCCTGCCCTCTGTTACACCCCCTGAACCCACTCCTAAGAACACAAAAGGTGTCCAGTGGAGTCTCCAGGATCTAGCCCAAGTCCTTCTTACTGTCTCTTTGCTTTGACCTGCGCAAGGCTGTTGTGAGAACCCTGCCTTCCTTTCTCTCCCCATCATGCCCGTGCTTCCCGTCCTGCTCACTCACTAGCGCAGCGTATGGTCCGCCATGGGGTTGGAGTGTGCACGTTGCCGGTAGTAGCGCTTCTGGGGCTGCGAGGCCTCTGCTCCGGTAGCATCTTCGGTCTCAGCTCCCGCCATGATCCGCAGTCCGGGATTTCTACACTGAACCCACGTGGAGGCCAAGGCACCGGGCGCACGATAGTGACGCAGCTCTACAGGTTGCGAGAAGACCCCGCCTCTTAAAGAGCCAAGCGTGAATTTAGCTGCGCTGGGGGGGATCGCCGAGACGGTCGCATGTCACGGTCTGACCTGGCAACGCCAGACCCTGGCACCAACTTCTTTCCCTTTTAGCGGGCTTCTGCCTGAGTCTGGGTTACTCTCCTGGCTGCAGACAACTGTGCGCCCCTCTTGTGAAAGGGGTTTGAGGATCCCGCGTCCCACGGTGGGATTAATCCTCTCTCTCTCAGCTCCTCTCTCCGGCCTCAGACCATTCGGCTGGGTCTGACTCGCGGCGTCCAGCTTGAGTCCCGTCCGGTGTGCGTGGGAGGCCAGGGCGGGGGAGAACAGCCCCTCTTTCTACTTCTAGGAAGTCAAACTGGAGCTAGGAGAGCGAACTCGGGGAGGCGGGGCTCGGTGTCCGAGGGCGCCCAGGCGGCCCGCGGCCCCCGCCCCGCCCCGCTGCAGATCCGGGATCCGAGCGCGCGACGTGGCACCCGGGCTTCCCCGGCTGGATGGCTGACTCCGGCGCAGAGGCCGAGTCGGAGCCCGAATCGGTGTTCCCTCGCGAGGTCGGACTCTTCGAGGACTCTTACTCGGAGAAGAGTCGGTTCTGCTTCTGCGGGCACGTGCTGAGCATCACGCAGAACTTCGGGTGCCGCCTCGGCGTGGCCGCGCGCGTGTGGGACTCGGTGAGGAGTGGGCTCCTCTGGTGAAGGTCCGGGCGTTGTGGGCTCGGACTCTTGACAGTGGGAACCATCTCAGCGACAGTTTTTGGGTTTTTTTTTTCTCTCTCTCTCTTTGTCCTCCCGTAGGCTCTGAGCCTGTGCAACTATTTCGAAAGTCAAAATGTGGATTTTCGAGGCAAGAAGGTGATCGAACTGGGCGCGGGCACGGGCATCGTGGGGATCCTGGCTGCGCTGCAGGGTGCGTGAACTGGCTTTCCTGCGGGAGGGAGTATGGGGGGAGCAGGGATGTGAAGAAAATGGCACTTTTAGGGCTCTTGAGGGGAGGGGAGTGGCTTTGCCCTGTTGGGTTCCTTTCCTTTTCTGCATTTTTGTTTGTTTTTTTGTTTTTCCAGCTGTGTCATGCAGCCCTGATTGGCTGTCAGAGCACCCAAGGTGGTTGATTTCGTGGCGGGAAATAAAAATCAGCAGGCTTTAATGGAATAGTGTTTGCCATGTTGTTTTCCATGATTTCATGGAGAATGCTACTTAAAATTTCTTAATTCTGGACAGGATATTTTGTTAAAATATATACATGGACATACCTTGTAGAGAAAACAACCAGAGAGACTGACAATATCTCTCACGAATCCTTTATGACTTCGTTGTGAATGTTTTTAATGCTTTAGATTTTGATTGCTTCGGAGAAGCAAGCTTATATGGGTTAGGGTGTGTTTTGGGGGATGGGGTTTGTAATCAAGCATGCACAGTGGGAGAAGGAAAAGGTAAGGAAAAATTCTTCAACTTTGTCAAGAACTAGCAACTTTAGCAGTTAGAACATATAAAGCAGTCTTCCCCATAATATGTATACTGCTTTCCTAGGAAACTTCATACCTGTGAAGGGGTCAGTTTGTAAATGCCATTTTAAGGTGTGAAAGTACAGTAATCTAATGGACAGACAAAACTCCACAGCCAAAAGGAAAAAACAAAAACAAAAACCCTTGAACACTTATACAGTCATCTTCCTAGGAAAGCAAATTAACATATCCTTATTGATAGGAAAAGAATTAGGTTACATTAAGGGACATCTTCCCAGAGGTGGGCATTCATTCATTCTTCATTCATTCAACTAACATGGTATTCTGAGTCTCCTGTGTGCCAAAAATTATGGCAGATAATGGAGATACAACAGTGCATAAGACAAAGTGCCTTCCCCTAGGAGGACTGGTGGCCTAGTGGTAAGAAGCTACACTGCAATCCTGATAGTTCATAGTTTGAATCTACCAGCTGCTCTTCTGGAGGAGGATGGAATGTCTCCTCCTATGTGATTTATTGCCTCTGAAAACCCAATGGAGGGTCAGCAATTGGTTGGTTCTAACTGATCAGCACATAACAGCAGCACGTTTCTTAGGGTCTAGAGAAGAGAGGGCAGGATGTTACCACATAAGAACTTGGGTAAGGGGTGTGTAGGGAGTAATAGGTAGTTTCTGGCAGTGTCTAATTTTGACTCCTTGGGATTCTATCAAGGGGAGGCTCTGTCAACATAGGAGACGAAGACCCTAGATGAGATGGATTGACACAGTGACTGTGGCAATGAGGACAGGTGTGTCAGAGACAAGCATATTGGTTTGGGGTAGGACAAGGGTTTAGAGCTATTCATAGGGTTGCTGTAAGTCATTGTCAACTTGACGACCCATAACAACAACATACATACATCTACATATGTTGACCTTTGGTGAGCTGTCTCATGTGCACTGCACCACCAGGGCTCCTTAAAATCAAGTAAACTCAAACTTGGAACTGATTCTTATATGTATCTCATATATATACATCTTCCAAGCTTAGAAAATTCTATGAGGAAGTTCTGTCACATAGGGTCATTATGGGTCTAAATCAACTCAATAGCATCTATTAACATAGATGTACACTTGGAGAAAATACAGCTTTTCTATACTGTGCATTAACCAGAGGTTTCAGAGACTACAGCCTGTATGAAGATCCCAAGGAAGGAAACATCAAGGTATCCTTGAGGAGCTAACAGAGGGCAATGTGATTAGAATGCAAGGAGCATGGGAGGGGGAGAGGCAGAGACATGCTACACATGTTGACTCTATCCTTAAAGCATCCAGAAACCACGGAAAGATTTGGAAATGTGGGAGGCATGTGATTACAGTCGCATTTTGAAATGACCACCCTGTCTGGTGAATTAAGTGGAGGCCTCGGCAGGGTTAAGCAATAGAAGTAGGCAGACCAGTTTGACTAATTATAGTAGTCCAGGCAACTGATGGTGGTAGCTTTGGCTGGAGAGCTGTCAGTGGAAATGAAGATATAAAAGAAAATTCAGTGGATACTCAGGAGAATCAATAGGACTTGAACAAGGATATCAAAGTTGGAGGGGGAAGGCTGTGTCAAAGATGAGGGTCAGGTGGACTCACTGAAACATCAAAGGCGATTGGAGAAACAGCATTGGTGGCCACTTCAAATGTCCACGTGGGGGAAGTTTAAAGGCTGTTGTGAAAATTTAAGCAAGAGACAGCAGCGCCCTGAACTAAAATAGATATGACAGGAAGAGGAGTGCACAATCTGGAGAGTCGTAAGGACATACAACCCACAGAACTGGCTGATTGCCAGGATGAGAGAAAAAAACCAGATGACACCCAGATTTCTGATTCAGCAGCTGAATAGGGGACAAGAGAGAAACTATTTCTTTTGAAAATAGATACTCCACTACAAATTATATGCATTCACTCAACTTTTTAACTTAAGTGCCAGCTTCTCATCCACCTATTCACAGAAAAACTGTTGCTGACACTCATTCTTCCTGATGAGAGCCTCTGATGGATTCAGACTGCCTGAGAAGTGCTGCCTTTGGTTAGCACTTGATAGTACTTCAGAGGACACACCAGAGTTCCCAGAGTCAGGCGTGGGGCTGATAAGTGGACTTTGGACTTAAAAACATGGAAGGTAGTAATGACCTTGACTAGAGCAAGTGGAGTGGAGGGGGCATTATGGGGCACTAGTCAGATTGGAATGGACCAAAGAAAGAGACTCTGAGAGAGAAGAATGAGAAGTCTCCTCCTGTGTGATTTACACAGAAACCCACTGAAGGGTCAGCATCACGTTGGTTCCAAGTTTGAGTTTACTTGACTGTATGGAGCTCTGGTAATGTAGTGTGCAACACATTCACACATGAGGCTGCTACCCATAAGATCAGCAGTTCGAATCCACCATAAGCCCTGTGAGAGAAAAATGTGTAGTTTCCTCCCATAAAGATTTATAGCTTTTGAAACGTGATTAAGGGTCCCTATGAGTCAGAACTGATTTGATAGCAGTGAGGGTTTTATGTTTGCTTGTTTTTACTAGACTTCATAGCATTTGAGATCCTCCTCCTTGAAATATTTTCTTTGGTTTTCAAAGCATCAAACTTCTGTATTATTCCTGCTTTGCTGGTTACTCCTTTCAAGTTTTGTGTATTGATTCCATTTCATTTTTACAGTAAAAAATTCAAGTGCCTTAGGCTTGAGGGGCAGCCCTTTGACCTCTACACTTTTCTCTCTATACTCATTCTCAAGCAATTCCATTTTAGGCATTTGAATGCCTTTTCTATGTTGATGATCCGATGACTCCTCTATTTCTGCCCCTCCCTTTCCAAACTTGTTTGTGTTACCTACTCAGTATCTCCATTTGGATTGTCTGATAGACAATTCAAATTTTATATGTCCTGTAATAAACTCATGATGTTCTTGTTTAAACTTGCCACTCTTGCTGTCTTCCTCATCTAAATGAATGGCAGTTCTGTCTTTTTGAGTTGGTTGGGCCAAAAAATCTTGGAGTCATTTTCAACTTCTTCCTCTCTAATATCTTATGTCCAATCTGTCAGCAAATCTTTGTGGTTCTACCTTCTATATATTCAGAATCTGGCTACTTCTTAACCATTGCTACTGTCTGATTCCAAGCATCATTGCTCACCTAGGCAGCAGCCTTCTAACGCTCCCCATGCTTCTGCTCCTCTGCAACTCGTTCTCATCACAGCAGCCAGAGAAATTCTTTTAAAGCACAAATTAGCCTGTACCATTGTTCCACTTAATTTGCTCAAGGACCTCTTCAAAGTACTGAGGAGCAATGATGTCAGTTTAAAGACTAGGACTAGGGTGTGTCTGATCCAGGCCATGATCTTTTCAGTCACCTGCTATACATCTGAGAGCTTGACAATGAGTATGGATGAAAAAAGTCTACAGCTCCAGAAGTCATTTGAGTTGTGTGTTAGAGTATTGACTATCCCATGAACAAATAAGAACAGGTATGTCTTAGGACAAGGTGCAGTCAAAGTGCTCCTTAGAAGTAAGGATGGCAAAACTTTGTCTCACATATTTTGGGAATGTTGTTAGAAGGAGTTATCCTTGGAAATGGTCATCATGCTAGGAGAAGTGGAAGGTCAGTGAAAAAGAGGAAGACCTTCAATGAGATGAATTGACACAGTGTTTGCAGCAATGGGCTCAGTTATGTCAGATGATGAGGGCAAGATACTTGACAGCACCTAACAACAAGAACCGTAGCTTCTCTGTTTTTTTAGCCTAGCCGTCCAGATACTCAATCTCTTTACAATAAGGCCTTTGAATCCCTAGTGGTTATGATTTGGTGCTTTGAATCTACTGGCTACTTTGCAGGAGAAAAATGAGCAGTCTCCTCCTGTGCAATTTACTGCCTCAGAAAACTAGCCAAAGGGTCAGCTGTGAGTCAGTTAAGAGTTGATGGTACATAACAACAGCAAAGACTTCTCTCCCTGGCCTGTTTGCTGTTCTGGCCTGTTAGACACATTCCTTCTTCAAGGTCTTTGTGCTTGCTTGTCCCTCATCTGGTACTCTTTAACCTAAGAGATCCACGTGCTTTGCTTCATTAGGTCCTCCAGGCCTTTATCCACATATACTTTCTCATATTTTCTAACCATACAGTTGAACACTGCATTTCCTACCCTATCCTATGATCACTTCTTATCCCCCTTTTCTGTTTCGTGCTTCACAATAGTGTCAAACACTCTGGTGGCATGACAGGTAAGTGCTTGCCTGCAAACAGAGTTTTGGCAGTTTGAGACCACTTAACACCACAAGAGAAAGATAGGGTGATTGGCTCCTGTAAAGATGGTAGTCATGGTAAGACTTATAGCTGTGCCCCACAGTAGGTTTCCAGAGGCTGTAAATTGTATGGAAGGAGATTGTCCATCTTTTTCCCTCACAGTCGCTGGTAGATTCAAACTACCTGCCTACCTTTGAGTTGGCAGCACAACTCCTTACCCACTAGGCCACCAGAGTCCCCCTCCTGTAAAGAGCACAGTCTAAAAATCCTAATGAGAGAGTTCTACTCTTTTATATATAGTCATTTGCTCACTCATTCCTTGCCCTCAAATTAGAACCAATTAATGGCTGACCCTCCGGTGGGTTTTTGGGAGTTCTAAATTACATGGATATGCCAGAGATTGTGCATTTGGCATAGGACAGGACAGAGTTCAGATCTCTTGTTCATAGAGTTGATGAGTTGTACTCAATTTGATGGCATCTAACAACAATAACAAATTGCATAGGAGGAGATAACCTAGTTTTCTCCCTAGGAGTCCCTGGTGCATTCAGACACTAGAGAGGCATCATCTTTGGGTTAGCAGTGCAACTTCTAAGATCGTTGTTGTTGTTGTTATGTGCCATCGAGTCACCTGCGACTCACAGCAACCCTATGTACAAACATCTAAACCCTATTCTATCCTTTGCCAATCTTACTGTCTTTGACATGCCTACCCCCATAACCCCAGTCACTGAATCCATCTCATTGAGGGTCGTCTTCTCCTGCGCTGTCCCTCCACCCTCCCAAGCATGAAATCCCTCTCCAAGAACGATCCCTCCTTGCAACATGTCCTAAGTATGTCAGATGAAGAATCCTTGCCTCTAAGGAGCAGCCTGGTTTAACCCTCTCCTAAGATGAATCTCTTTGTTTTCTTAGCAGTCCATGGTACCCTCAATACTCTTCTCCAGCACCACAGCTCAAAGGCATCAGTTCTCCTATCATACCTACTCATTGTCCAGCTATCTGATGCATAGCAAGTGAGTGCAAAGACCATGGCCTGTAACAGGTACACCTTAGTCTCCAGACTGACATCATTGCTCTTCAATACTTTGGAGAGGTCTCTGACAGCCGACTTCTGTGCAGTTCGTCTTTTTATTTCCTGGCTGCTGGCTCCTAGAGTGTTGATTGTGGAGCCAAGCAAACAAAAGCTGTTAACAGTCTCAATCTCTTCATCATCTATCAAGATGCTACCAATCAGCCCAGTGGTGAGAATCTTTGTTTTCTTGATACTGAGCTTCAGTCCGTATTGAAAGCTGCAATTCTTGACCTTCTGCAACAAGACTTCAGGTCCTTCTCAGTTTCAGCAAATAGGGTTGTGTCATCTGCATAACGCAGATTGTTGATGAGTCTACCTCTAATCCTGATGCCACATTTCACCTCATAGAGCCCAGCCTCCCGGATAATCTGTTCTGCATATAGATTGAAAAGGTATGGAGATAGGACACAGCTGGCGTACACCCTTCCCAATTTTGAACCGTGTGGTATTCCTTTGTTCTGACAACTGCCTCCTGGTCCAAGTATAGGTTTCGCATAAGCACAATCAAGTGTTTTTTGTTATCCACACAGTCAAATGCCTTTGCATAGTCAATGAAACACACATAGACATTCCTCTGGTACTTCCTGCTTTCAGCCAAGATCCATTTTATGAAACAACGTATGAGCAAGAGCCTATGATCATTGGGGTTGAAATTGACACAGTGACTGCAGCAGTGGGCTCAAGTGTATCAGAGATGATGAGGATGGCACGGGATGGAACAAAGTTCAGATCTGTTCATAGGGTGGCTTTGAGTTGTATCAACTAGTCAGCACAAGAGAACAGCATAACACTTACTACTATCTGCTGTATGTTGTTGTTCTGTGCTACTGAGGCACCTGCAACTCACAGCAACCCTGTGCACATTAGCTCTGAACCTTGCTCTATCCTGAGCTTACTGTCTCAGATGAACCTGTCCCCATTATCCCAGTGTCAGTCCTTCTCATTTGGGTTTTTCATGCACTGTCCCTCTCCTGTGGACATGCTCCTTCCTGGCCACATGCCTAAAGTATGTGAGATGGAACTTTAGAGTCCTTGCATTTAAGGAGAAACTTGGTTTTACCCTCTCTAGGATAAACCTGTTCTCTTGGCAGTCCATGTTATGTGCAACACTTCTACAGCACCATAACTCAAAGGTATAGAGTATTTTAAAATTTTGCTTGTTTGTTCTTATTTGTTGCTTGCCACTAGATTGTAGTAGATTGTAGAGCCATGTGGGAGGTCCTTATCTGCTTATTATACTGCTGTATTCATAGTACCTGACATATAGGCACATAATTTCTTTAAATTTTTATTATGATTTTAATGAAAATGTACGGAATACTAGAATTTTCATACATTCATTGTTATACATTTTCCTCTTTCCCCTCATTTCCCCCTCCTCCAGTCCATTTGGCAATGCACTTCTTGTTTCAGATTGTTGTTATACATATAATGCCTAATCATATATTCCTTTTAAACAGTTCTTTCCTTCATCTGTTCCAATGCAGTGTTCATTATCTAACCACTTTTTTCTGTTCTTCCCCCAACCCCACGTCAGTCCTGTTTTATGACAGCAGTGTTGTGCACACATAATAAATATGAATGAATGAATGAATTGAATACATAGTGCTTCCCCCTCTTTCTGTAACAGTTATCATGATAAGCATAGTTACCATTGCAGTACCTACTACATCTCCATCTGGACAGTGAAGCACATGGGAAGGCTGAGGTTTTGCCTTCCTCTCTACTACTATATCCCCAGCACCTGTCGGAGCTCAGCACATATGTATTGGATGACAGAAGCTTTCTGAGATTATTATCTGATCACTTTTATCTCCTTGTTTACCCCCAAAACTCAGGATCAAGTCTGACTCTCCTATCATATTACAGTCATGCTCCTCTTTAATTTCATGTTTGACATTTCTTTCTCTTTTCCACATTCTCTGAACTCCAGCTTTCCTTGAATGCACGTGCTCTGTCACCACCAGACCTTTGTACTCACTCTTCTCTTCGTGGAAAACTCCAGTTGACTAACTCCCACTTGTCCTTCAGGGCTCAGCTTAGGTCACATCTTCTGGGAAGCTTTCCAGACTCGTGCAGCCTGGGTTTGTGTCAGTGGAGATGGGCTCACGGCCCGTCTCTCGCTTAGTCCTGCCCTGACTTCTGCTGATGTTTGATTGTTGTATGTTGGGCAGCATGGTTGAAGATTAGCTTGTCAAGAATGTTGTTGTTGTAGAAATGTGGAGTAATGAGAATGGCTGTGATAAGGTGAAGGTTAGAGCAACTAAAAGCTCCAGTGTGGACTTTGAGCTGCCTGGAGCCTAAACCTTTAGTTGGTCCTTCTGACTTGCATTTTTCTTCCTTCCTCTCTCTCAGGAGGGAATGTTACCATCACTGACCTGCCTCTGGCCCTAGAACAGATCCAAGGCAACGTCAAGGTCAATGTGCCAGCTGGAGGCCAGGTCCAGGTCCGTGCTTTGTCCTGGGGGATTGACCAGCATGTCTTCCCTGGAGACTATGACCTGGTGCTCGGGGCTGATATTGTATACCTGGAGCCTACTTTCCCACTGCTGCTGGGGACCCTTCAACACCTATGTGGGCCCCATGGCACCATCTATCTGGCCTCCAAGATGAGAGAAGAACATGGGACAGAGAGCTTCTTCCAGGAACTCCTTCCTCAGCATTTCCAACTGGAGCTGGCCCAGCGCGATGAGGACGTGAATGTCAACATCTACAGGGCCAAGCATAGACGACTAAAACCTACTTGATGTTACCCTCGCTGCTCCTCTGAACCCCTTGTGTTAATGAAGGAACTGCCATGTCACCAAAGCCATAAATTCAGGACCAGAAAGGACGAATGTCCCTGTTTTGTCTTTGTTCTTCCTTTTCCTTTTGTTTCCCCAGACATTCTTGGGCAGATGCAGAGAGGTGCCTGCTTGCTAAGAGTCTAAGATCCTAGCAGTACTGATCTTGGTGCCTGTTCTCTGAGGAGGGTGTCCATGGTTTTTGGGTCTGGGGAGGTAAATGAATATGAGTGAAATCAGTAGTTACAGATAGACTGTTACCTTTCGCTTCTAGTCCTGCTTTTTATATATACTGAATGAGTATTTTTTTTTGTCCAGGTTCTATGGACATTTTTAAAGGAAAAGAAATGAGTTCTTCCAATGAACTTTGATTTTTGCTTTGGGGTTTGAGATGAAAGAAGCCTCAGACCAAGCATTTTTTACTTTTAGTGATGGAGTCTGGCAGGAAGGCACCATAGCTCTTAATGGATCAGTTTTTCCCAGCACTGAAGCTGGGGTTAGGCACAGACCTGTGCTTTGGATTACAGCACAGTCATTGTCTTTGGAGTTGGAGCTCTGATCACAAAACATCACACCATTCACAAGAACATTAGAGAAGAATACTAGATTCTTCTCACCTTTGGTTTTTCTTTAGTTTTCCAAGCCCCATCATTTCTTCCTTTCTAATATGCTTTATCTTCACCTCTTTTCTCACTGTGGCTCTTCTGGCTGGGTCAAAAGCTGACTTTAGACTAAGGGCCTTCATTCTCTTCAAGCCGTTCTACAAACTGTAGTCATCTGCCAGAGTCTGCTCTGATTAGCCCTTGCTGCCTGTAGAAACAAGAACAGGCTTCTCTGCTCGATCAGTCGCCCATGTAATTCCAAATTTCTTTTTCCTTTATTTCCTTCTCTCTTGTATGTATTGGAACCTCTTGCTCTACAAAAAGTTTACTCCTTTTTCCTTGATCCACACCGAGATATCCCAACTCCTTCCTTTGTTCTTTATAATGATCTCTGTCAAAGCCTTTATTATTCTTCATAGACCTTCTCATGTGTCACTTCTTTCATGAAGATAACTTCCTGTGCTTCCTCTTCAGGTGTGATTTTTATTTTTTCCTCTCTGAAAACCTTCGCTACATGATTTATCTTTTCCTGTCTGGTGATTTGTCTGCTCTTTACTCTGTCACTACTAGGTTACCTGTGAGGCCGGGCTGTGATTTATTCCTCTAATCCTGGTAGGCAGTTTGAACCTGGTAGACAGGTGCCCAAGAGCATCTGCTGGGAAATCTAAAACACTATGGAGCAGTTCTATTCTGTACACATGCAGTTGCCATGAATTGAAATTTACTTTATGGTAACAGTAATCCCTTGAAAGCAGAGCACATTTCCCGGCACACAGTAGGTGTTCAAGAAATATTCACTGTACTTGTTGAAGACACATCATCCTTAACTACTTAGGGGACTTGCACAATTTTTTTAACATCCCTGCCTTCCTCACAAGTTTGTCCTGAATTATAAATGGATAATAATAATTAAATGGATAATAATAATCATGAAGCATATTGGGAATAAATACATTCAGAACGTTATCTAAGTGTCTTGCGTCATTATAATTTTGTGACAGTTTTATCTCATGCTTCCATCTGTCTCTCTAATCTGTCATCTGTAAATGCCTTTGGGGAATGTAGTCTTAACAGAGTGCCCCCTCCAGCCGGTAGGTGGCGCTATCCTCGTTTGAAGCATGTAGGTGGCGCTATCCTCGTTTGAAGCATTTGTGCGGAGTGATTTGTCACCGCTCCCTTCCCGTAGGTCGGTCACTTCCCCAGTGCGCCGGCTCCGGAGAACGTGCCACCTGGAGAGATGCTGCTGCTGCAAGCGTTGCGCTTCTGCCTGGTTGCGCGGACCGGGCGCCTCCAGGTGAGACCTCCTGACCCCCCGCACTGGCTCTTGAGTCAGACCATACTTCTTCCAACAGTCCCGAAGCCGGGCTCCTGTGCTCTCGAAGCACACTTTTCCTTTCTCCCAGGCCCACCTTTCGACCCTAACTCCTCATTCCTGGGACAGCCTTTCTTCGTTGTCCGGAATCCGTGGATACTCAGTGAATTATTCATCCTTCATAGATACCCTTGCACTCGCATGTGTGCTTTGTTTATGTTGGTGTCTTATTTAACTAATAGTTGATTTCTGCTCTTGTCATCCCTTTCTCCCTTGCCCGTTCTAGGTGGGCCCACTGTTGCTTCAGACGCCACAGCCATGGCCTACATTTCATACTGGGCCCTGTTTGGCCGCCTCGTCTTCCAGCAAAGAGTTCCTTATGAAGTTGCGGCGAAAAACGGGCTATTCTTTTGTGAACTGCAAGAAAGCCCTGGAGACTTGTGGTGGGGATCTCAAAGAGGTGTGTGTGATAGTGGTCAACGAGGGGGGTTGTTGTTGTTATGTGCCGTCCAGTCGCCTGCGACTCATAGCGACCCTATGTAACAACAGCCCTAAACTCCGCTCTGTCCTGTGCCAGTCGCACCGTCTCTGACACTCCCATCCCAATTATCCCAGTCACTGAATCAATCCACCTCATAGAGGGCCTTCCTCTCCTGTGCTGTCCCTCCTGTGCTGTCCCTCCACCCTCCCAGGCATGATGTTCCTCTCCAAGGACCGGTCTCTCCTCACAACATGTCCAAAGTATGTTAGAGCCTCAGAATCCTTGCCTCCAAGGAGCCACCCGGTTTAACCCTTTCCAGGACAAATGTTTGTTTTCCTAGCAGTCCATGGTATTCTCAATACTCTTCTCCAGCACCACAGCTCAAAGGCATCAATTCTCCTTCTATCCTCCTTTGTCATTGTCCAACTCTCTGATGCATAACAAGTGATTGGGAAGACCAAAGCCTGTATCAGACGCACCTTAGTCTTCAGAGAGACACCATTGCTCTTCAGTACTTTGGAGAGGTCCCTAACAGCAGACTTTCCCATGGCAATGCGCCTTTTAATTTCCTGGCTGCTGGTGCCAAGACTGTTGACTATGGAGCCAAGCAAACTAAAGCTGTGTACAATCTCAATCTCTTCACCATCCATCCTGATGCTGCCAGTTGGTCCAGTGGTGAGAATCTTTGTCTTCTTGACATTGAGCCTCAATCCATATTGTAAGCTGCAGTCCTTGACACTCTGCAGCAGGCACTTCAGGTCCTCTTCAGTTTCAGCAAGCAGGGTTGTGTCATCCGCATAACGCAGGTTGTTGATAAATCGTCCACCAATCTTGACCCCACATTTCTCCTCATAGAGCCCAGCCTCCCGGATAATCTGTTCTGCATATAGGTTGAAAAGGTACGGAGATAGGATGCATCCCTGGCGTAGCCCTTCCCAATTTTGAACCATGCAGTGTTCCCTTGCTCTGTTCTGACGACTGCCTCCTGGTCCAAGTATACGTTTTGCATTAGAACGATTGTCCCTCCTTCCCCAGCAGAGCATCTGGTGGATTTGAACCGTGTGCCTCTGGGATTGCAGTACAGCTTCTTGCCACTAGGTCACCAGAGCTCTCTAGATGGGAGAATCAACGAGGGTACAAATTCATATTCTACGGAACAAAGGAAGGCCTGCCTGTCAGCTGGAACCCTGGCTTAACTGCCTGAACCTCAGAAATTGTCTGATTTGTCGACAGATCATATGACATATGAGCAGGGATCTCAGTTAACAAAACATGCCGTGCAAGACCTTTCTGCTGGTTGTAGTGGAGAGGTCTTGTGTGAACTTTCGAGTTGAAGACACCAGGTTTCAATTATATTACCTTTACATAAATCTTGTGACTTTGGACAGCTTTCTTATTAATCTTACAGCATTCTTATCTTTATAGTGTAATACTCTCTCTAAGGCTGCTGGGAAGATGAAACTTAGCCGAAGCATCAGGTCCCTAAAATCCAAATCACTGCCATCCAGTTGACTCTTAGTCAAGATGATCCTATAGGGTAGAGTAGAGAACTACCCCATAGGGTCGTTCAGGGCCTAAAAATCTTTAAGGGAGCAGACTGCTTCACCTTTCTCCCATAGAGTGCCTAATGGGTTCAGACTGCTACACATTTTAGGAGCCAGATACTTGAACCATTTTGCTGTCAGGGCTCTTTACACTGGCATTTGGCATTTAGTGGTAGATGGCAAGAGCTTAGAGATTGCTTTAATTTCCATTATAGAATTTTTGGCCTAATGGTAAAGAGTTGCACTGCCAATACAAAGGTACACGGTTGATCAGTTTCCTCCCATTCAGTTATCAGTCTCCGAAAACCCACTAAAAAGGTGGGCCCACTGTTGCTTCAGACGCCACAGCCATGGCCTACATTTCATACTGGGCCCTGTTTGGCCGCCTCGTCTTCCAGCAAAGAGTTCCTTATGAAGTTGCGGCGAAAAACGGGCTATTCTTTTGTGAACTGCAAGAAAGCCCTGGAGACTTGTGGTGGGGATCTCAAAGAGGCAGAGAGCTGGCTTCACAAGCAGGCCCAGAAGGAGGGCTGGAGCAAAGCTGCCAAACTTCATGGGAGGAAGACTAAAGAAGGCTTGATTGGGCTGCTGCAGGAAGGAAATGCAGCTGTGCTAGTGGAGGTGAGTTGTCAGAATTTGAGGTACCAGTAACAGCTGGTTGTCTTGGGGGTAAAGCTTTTGGTAGCTACAGCATTTTAAGAGATGTAAAAAGCCTGTAAAGCCTGTAATGGTAGTTATTAAACTTGTAAGACCAAAATGACTTCCTAAAAAGATTAAGTAGAGAAGTGAACAGATGTGTTGATGAGAAAAGGCCTAGCAGTCTAAAATATTTCTTCTCACTAAGTAGGCAAGAGTCTAGTGTAGTTTTAAATCTTGTTGGTGATTGTTTATTTGAACAATAGAATTTAATAGTAGGAATTAATTGGTTGATGGGTGGGATCCATAATGGAGGGAAATTATATACGATTAGAATGAGAAAAGTGGATGAACAAGTTGATAGCAAAAGTGGTTTAAAGTTGGAAGTGTCAGGAAAATGAAGTCATTATGTCATGCAGCCATAATTAACTTGTAATGAGCCCTGTAGAGACATTATGGACCTGTCTTAAGAATGTGTAGGTCTCTGCTAACTCATTGATGTCATAGTAATCATTCAGTTTCTGGCCTCAAGCTAGAATATTAATTATGGCTTTGAAATTTCAGAGTAATTTATTTCCGTTTTGTTGAGTCTGTAGCCTATTTTTGTGATTTACTTTTTTTTTTAAAGTTTGTCACTGTCAGAAGCTTTCTGCAAACAACTTATACAACTGCATCAATTTGTTCCCACAGGTCAACTGTGAAACAGATTTTGTTTCTAGAAATTCAAAATTTCAACAGTTGGTCCAGCAAGTAGCCATTGGAACCTTATTACATTGTCAAAGT